GACGTTATTTCGTTCACTTTAATGCCTTTTGATTTATGTCATACTAATTATACTGCAGTTAAAACAGGAAATAATAAATTATATGGTCTCCTGGGTGTATGTTTTTCATCGGTTGTGGATAAAAAAGACCCGAGCCTCATTAACAATTTCCCTAAAACATGCTTGGGTTTTAACCTCTCAAAACCACAAAGTGATCACGAGAGACTTCGTAGTGAAGGGCTCCGGAAATATTGACTACCTGGGGTTCCTTAACGTGCACATTAACCTAAGTGCACTGTCCTCAAACATTTTAGCCTCCATCGAAAATGCAATCGCCGCAGCTGGGACTCGAACCCACAATCTCCGGCTTAGCAGTCGATTGCGACGGCCACTATAGACAACCGTGGCGGGGAGACAATTCCCTTTACATGCTAATTGTTTGCTGGTAGTACGCGACTTCGGTGTGCTGCATTGCTTTGTGGATACATTAAGCCTCAACACGCCGCACTCATGAAGCCTATTGTAGCACTGACACGAACGCTGGCCCCCTTCCCACCCCCACACAGTGTACACGGATTTCGGCGATGCTATCAACCGGACTGGACGACCGATGGTCTACTCGTGCAGTTGGCCTGCCTATGAAGTCTCGTATGGAGCTAGCGTAAGTTCATTTTCATCGGTCAACGCTCTCTGGGGAGTTCAAAGTTCCATTAAGTGGCATGCACGGCTTGATGTTCTATGACAATGTTCTGTTTGGCGTTCTCGTGATAAATAGAACAAAGTGTTGTTTGACTCTACAGAAACAATTTTTTATATAAATACACAGTGATGTCGAGTGAAGGGCACCTGTCATGATATTTCATACAACCCTTTTTTGGTGTTCGAGTCGCTATTTCTTGTGTCAATAATTATCAGCGACAAAGAAAGTAGTGACTGCCGCTTATCACAATTTTTTAGCACCAGTTAACGAAGAGCATCTTTTCTCCTGATGCGCAAAAAAAAAAAGTGTGACATCTCGTCGAGGCTATACACACAGAAACAACGGAGCATGTGATATCTGTAAGTTGTTCTATCCAGAAAGGCTAAGGGAGGAAGCAATAAAATACAAGTAGGGAAAGGGGAAGGTTATTCCGTGAGATGGCCACCATTCACAAAAGGAGGAAGCGAAGCATGCACGGGGCAGCTCTTACAGTCGTTGGCACATCCGGCATGACCCATAAGGAAGCGCAGCGGCATGCCTGAAGCCTCTGATTTCGATAATATGCGTATACGCTTAGGCATGGCGTTTTCGGCCGGCGTGAGAAAGAAGGAACGACGATGTTTCCAACAATAACCTTCACTGCTGAATCAGAGGTCAACGATACTCCGCTCTGTAAGACCACTTCGAGCGCACGCCGGAGCTATCAGACAACAGGATGAGCCAGCGAAGAGGCACGTATACAATTATACACAGAGCGAACAAGGTTCTTGACCATGCACAAACATTTCTATGGATGAGTGTAGCATTTACTTGCTTTTTTTTTTCTTCGCATCGATACGACAAGGTGCTCATTCCTGCGGTGTACAGGGACCACGGAAATGACGTTGGCAAAATGCCCTCAAACAGACCACAAAGAAAACTGAAAGCAAAGATTTCGTTGAAGCCCATGACCTCAGCGTAGAATTCATGACTTTTCGATCCGCGTCAATATAGTTAAGTGCCGGACACTCCACCCACTGCGGTACTGACGCACCTACAAGATACTTAACAAACGCGCCTTTACATCTCACACCTTCTACGCGAGAGGGATTTTAGAGGACAGTGAAACGCCTTCGCGTGTTTGCGGCTGAAGCAGCGAACTGTACCACTCGCTTACCCGGAGCGCCTGTGTGGTATAGTGTACATACATATATGTGTGAGCAGAGGCATAGCTTACTGCAAACGAGTGCTTAAATTCACACTTCTTCTCCTCTTACCATGCTGTTCCTCCCGCCATTTTCATTAGTTTTTCTCCTCTCTCTCTCTCTCACGTGTTGCAGGGGCTCTGCTTCACCGGGCAGAATTTTCGCTTAACGCTCACAGTTGCTGTACTCGGTAGTGCGATTTCCTCCATTCCCGCGGCACGTATTCGCTCGAGAATTTTCATTCGCGCTGGGCACATTACGGCTGGCTTAAACAGCTTCATGGTTGACATCTTAGTTTCATAAAAATTTAAACTGATCAAGTGACACAGTCTCAGTGAATCATTATATAACATCGAACCTATTAGTGTGCAGACTCCAATATAGGGAGTAAATCACAGGAAAAACGTGATATCCAGCTGCATAAGTGCTATTCCTGCTTTAGTGTAGCCTTGACCGGAAACAGCGCCGCTTGATAATTGATTGATTGATATCTGGGGTTTAACGTCCCAAAACCACTATATGATTATGAGAGACGCCGTAGTGGAGGGCTCCGGAAATTTAGACCACCTGGGGTTCTTTAACGTGCACCCAAATCTGAGCACACGGGCCTACAACACGAAAACAGCGCCGCTGTCAGTGAGAGCACAAAAATGATGATTGCGCTGCGATTCCGTAGAAAATCGCGTTCGTGCCAATTGCATTGAGGTCACGCTCACGGCTAACATATCTCAATGCTTATTTAACACAAGAACTGCCTTTTTTTTTTTGGCGAGTGGGAATAAATACGGAAAACATATGAAGACGCACGGTGAATGTGTGGGTGGAGCTCGAGCTGAATTTAGTATTGCCTTAAGTTACAGGCGCCGTGGCATGTCAATACATGATTGCGGAGCTTATGTGTCATACAGGAAAGGTAAGGTGCAAAGACGTCTCGTCCAGCGAAACTATTCGCACGTGAGATATCACCCCGCACAATCTGATATCAATAGTCTACAAAAGATTAAGCCGTAGTTGTCTTATAATTAGTAAATTTTTGCTAGCAATTACACAAACACAAATTCAGCTGTGAGACGATGCTTGTTAATCTAGAAAACGCACATACACGACAAGTAGTAATGCCACTCTCGTGGCGGCATACGTTATTCTTTTCCCGTAACAAATAAATTACATTGCATTTAGTGAGAGCTAGAGGGCTCACATAAAATGTTTCAGGAGATAGTATAGACCTGATATGGCCAGAATAAGACAATGTGTTGAAATCCGTGGCGACACAGTTAAGTTCAGCTGCCGATGGCTAAACCGGAAGTTCAGAACCGAAGCTTTCAGCTTCATTTTCTTGCATTAATCATTGATATATCGGGTGAAAATAACGAAGACTGATTATAAGTTGTTAGAATATGGTGGTTTATTTTCTCTTACAGCTGCTGCCCGAACAAGCTTTTCACACTCTCGGCTTTCATGTTCGTTTCAGCCAAACTACAAGCTGATCGGCCACCACTGCAACCTGTGGAGGAACTACGTGGACATAGCCGATACTTGGCAGAGCGTGGAAAGTGTCATCGACTATTATGCCGCGAACCAAAACGCACTGACCGCAGCAGCTGCCCCGGGACGCTGGAACGACCCGGACATGGTTAGTATGATACGGCAAGGCCAGTGCAGCACCAGTAGGTATACCTAATCGATATTATTATTGCTTCCTTATAAACACTGTACTTAAAGCCCACTGGAACGCCAAAATATACAATGGCAGGTGGCTGGCTTGGTAGCGAAGTCTAGTAACGGTTTTCCCGACGCAATACGCCCAGAAACGTTCTAGCTTCGTTTTATTTCGGTGTAACGTGAAGAGAAGAATGATGCAGGTACCTGACTCTATTTCAAGCTGTTGGTCAGCTTTAGGTTAAGTAGAAGCTAATTGCGTAAACATTGTCATTGCAAAAAAACAGTTCTATCTGTTTCACATCACCTCCGCCTGGCGAGATACGACTGATAATCAGTGGCATAGTAAAAATTTTTATTTTTTTTTCGAGAGGGAGTGGGAGGAAGGCATGGAGTTCAACCATAATTTATACTTGTTCGTGGGTGTGTTTGTGTGTGTACGTGTGTGCAAATGAAAATTATGAGGTTTCTGAATTCGTTCATTCCGGGAAAAAAATATCGAGCCCCTCTCCCCCCCCCCCTCCCTACCATGAACTGCCCTGAATCAGGGTTGTCGAAAAAAGCAATGATGCTTCTTCTGACAGCCATGATTCAGCAAAACGTCTATCCCCCACACCCTTCCCCGATTGTTTCTTTTCTTTCCTTTAATTCGCGGAATGTCTCTTCCCTTCTACGCACACTATTGGTTAGGACGCCCTTACCAACAGTAGTCCTCTCCCCTTCCTTTGTTTGGTTTCCATGAGAGGGTGCGAAACATGTCGATAAAGAAATCAGTTCAAACCTCGAGGAAGACAAGTCCCCTTTCTCGAAACATTGGCTCGAGCACACACACCCAGTTTACGGATTTTTCTTTTCCTTTTTGCATTACCAGCCACACTAGCGCATTCCTTTTATCCTTCGTTTCTCACACGTCCGGAGAGCGGAGACACTTTTTATCAGACGTCGTTTCCGTTTCAGACCGTTACTCATTTTGTTCACCGTTACCTTATTATCTCATTCATAAAACGTTAAGTGAACGTAGTTGTTTGTATCCATTTTAGTCTTTGCTGTATGCGCTATGCTTCACATTGTAACGGAACTTGAGTTTTTTAGTTGTGTGAGTCTTTCACAATGTGATTAAATAAAAAAAATAATTATAATGGATAAACTTAGTTTAACGGCTGCTCGATAATAACGAGCAGACATGCCTGTTGAGGGAGGACTGGACGGCGGAGGCACTACATCTCCGATCGAGGCGATGAAGATATGCGGCCTAAAGGCATGCGCCTTTTTCACTGTGCGGGCGGGCGCGCGTTTGTGTGTGTGAGAGTGGGTGACATTTTCTTTTACTGTGATACGTGTGCGCGTTTTTACGCAAGCATGCTCGTCTTTCCTAACTTTCATATGCTACTGTCTGTATGTTTGTTTATTGTCTTGTATGCGCCGTGTTATCCCCCCAAGTGCTAACGACTATCCAGTGCCTTAATTGTGCGCCAAATTATCAAGACATCGTGCCAACAACATCAAAAAAAAATATGTATACGGGCCATGGTCTTTGGCTTTTGAGCACACCAAACGATTCCGTCATCCTCTTCTCTTTCTCTCGCAGTTGGTGATCGGCAACTTCGGTTTGAGCTACGACCAGAGCAGGGCACAGATGGCCATCTGGGCCATAATTGCCGCTCCTCTACTCATGTCCAACGATCTGCGCCGTATGCGGCCCGAATTCAAGCAGATCTTGCAGAACAGAGCCATTATTGCTGTGAACCAGGATCCTCTCGGCATTATGGGAAGGAAAATAAGAGTGGTAAGCCTTCGAACCACGTGGGCATTTCAACCACGTTTTCGTTGTTCCAGCGGCGTTGCGTGAAGCTTACGTTTCGTCGGTGCTACTAGATGGTATTACTAAGTTTACTTACCGTCATAGAGTTTCTCAAAATTAACTAGATGGAACTCTGGCGCTGCGATTCTTCAGCGACCATGGGAATGATGGGTAGTACACACATTTGCCTAGTCTTTGTACTTGCGGGCGGCGAATCGTACTTGCGGCTCCGTTTATTGCTGTGTTTCGGTTTTGTTTTGAAAGAAAGATTGAACCCTTTTGAACTTCGTGAGCCAATTTGGAAAGTAAGTCTAAAAAAATAAAATGGTGAAGCGCAACCGCTGAACATTTGCTAATACTTGTTTTGTAAGAAAACAGCTCCAAGCCACACGAACACAAGCAGGCCAGAAGTACTAATATTAGACAAAAATGTGTACTACCCATCATTCCCATGCTCGCTGAAGCGTCGTGAGTTGTAGCTACCATAGACACTAGCGCCAGAGTTCCCTCTAGTAAGTATTGTGGGAAACTCTATGCTTACTGTCTCACAGTTGTGGACATTTCCTGCTGCGTATTATTTTCACTTTACGTCCACTGAACAGAGCCAGTTTTTTTTTTATGATCTTAAGATCCTTGAAATTGCAACACGTAGCATTTTTCTTCAACATAGATATTGTTTACAATGTCTCACATTAATGATAAAATGAAGTAAGATAGCTTGTTTGTGTGTAGAAGTCATACGGGACTATTAGTGCGCTATCCTCATAATGTTTCCAGGCTTAAGCAAACATTTATCATCATCATCATCATCATCATCATCATCATCATCATCAGCCTGACTACGTCCACTGCAGGACAAAGTCCTCCCCCATGTTCCGCCAGTTAATCCGGTCCTGTGCTTGCTGCTGCCAATTTATACCCGCAAACTTCTTAATTTCATCTGCCCACCTATACCTTCTGTCTCCCCCTAACCCGCTTGCCTTTTCTGGGAATCCAGTTAGTTACCCTTAATGACCAGCGGTTATCCTGTCTGCGCGATACAAGCCCGGCCCATGTCCATTTCCTCTTCTTGATTTCAACTATGATATCATTAACCCCCGTTTGTTCCCTAATGCACCCTGCTCTTTTTTTGGCTCCTAAGGTTACACCTACCATTTTTCTTTCCATTGCTCGCTGCGTCGTCCCCAATTTAACCCAGGTTCAATTCAAGTGCGTAACTTTACAAAGGCCTATTTTAACGCAATATCATAAATAACTCGTTTCGCATAAATTCCGGCATCGGCGTCAGTGCATGTCGGGGTCGGCATTTCGATTGTGAGCGAAAAATTGTCCTCTTGCCATGACCCGAAAATCAAGAAAGGCGCAACTAAAGTAAGAATCTCCGTGTTCCAGTGAAGATCGAACACATGCCGTGTGCATGATTATATAAGCAGGAGCTTCACCACGCAACCACGCGTTTTTTTTTTTTTTTTTCATGCTTTACCAAACACACGCGTCCCATACACAGGCTTCACTATACAACTTGATATATCGGAGTAATATTGCGTAGTACTCGCGCACATTGCCACCGCGCGTCAGATAATGTGATCATAATGGCTTCGTAGTTTGAAGCGGCCACCCATTATAAAACACGCACATTGCTGCACATATTCCCTTAAATCCACGTTGCGAGTGCATAACAACTTAGAATTTCACGTGAATACACACAAAATGCACCCGTATGCGAAATCTTCACCGACACAAGCCACGTTCAATTTCGTCAATTAGATTGTAATAATTCACAGTTTGAACTTCTCGAGCAACATCATACAATAACATGTATTATCTAAGCGGATGAAGTTCGCACTAGGGGAATGACATCGCAATCGTGTTCAACTCTTAAAGGCGAACCTTAAGGATCCCCTATTTTTTTTAAATTCTGGATCTGTTGTGAGTAAAATCGAAAATAACTGTCAATTATAAGAAGTATTGACGCATGAAATTGACAGCTTTGTGACTTTCCCCAAACTGGAATATCTTTTTTCGTTGCATACTGCACCTCCTGGCGTGTTTACAGCGTACAAAGTTTACACATAACAATTTTCCGATTCCTTTTTATTTCATGCACGATTTAGAGGAAAATGTTGGTGTGTTGCAAAGGGCAGCATTTGGTCGCTTCAGCTGTGTTATAAAGTGCAATTTTCAGAATTGTGCTATAAAACTTTCATTGAGATGGCATAGTTCTAAAATACAGAGATTCGTTTCTTTCTTTTTTTTAGTTTAGTTGTTGTCTACGTCTTCAAATTAAAAAAAAAATTATGACTTGACCAAAAAGCTGTTTTCTGCACTCACTCAATTTTAACTACATATTTTAAGTGCATAAGTACATATATGGTGGAAGCCCTATCTCATTCCTCTTACAGTAACGATGAACGCGAGGGCACTCTGTCGGTCACGCTCAAATAGTTTCATCTAATAACATCCCGTTTGATTTTTATTGGAGCTTTGCTTTCACGGCATAGTCTGACAGCGAGCATAAGTGCTCAAGGTAAAACAAAAAGTTAAACGCTTCACTGGGAAAGTTCATCGCACTTGATCACGTACATCGTTGATACGAGAAAAACAACAAAAAGCTTGTACAAACGAAGTTGCTGGTCTCTATTAGCACATCGCACTTGCGCCATCTGATTTTTTTCACTACACTGTGAGGTGGGATGCCCTTCTTTGTGCTCCGGTGAGCACGGTCTGCATAGGAAGATCAATGCCCTGACCATGGAAGCAGCCTCTTTACCCTGAACATTCTCAGTTTTGTTCAACAATATTTTGCACAAAGGCCCCGAGTGGAACGTGACTCCTTTATGATGTGACGCAGCGCATCTAACACGGGGACTCGATTAATCATCCCCAAGAGTTTTGTGCGTAAACATAGTTTAGTGGTGAATTAAACCGACTGCTGATTGCCTACCTGAGAGGCACGAGTTGGATCAACACCTCGTAATGCAACCATACTGCCAACACATGAGGAGCTAAGGGGGTATGATTGCCGGTAATGGGTGTCAGGCGAAAGAAACCTGCTGTTAGATTGATTGATATGTGGGGTTAAACGTCCAGAAACCACCATATGTTTATGAGAGAGACGACGTAGTGGAGGCCTCCGGAAATTTCGACGACCTGGGGTTAACGAGCACCCAAATCTGAGCACGCGGGCCTACAGCGTTTTCGCCTCCATCGAAAATGCAGCCACCGCAGCAAGGATTCGATCCCGTGATTTGCGGGTCAGCAGCCGAGCACCTCAGCCACTAGACCACCGCGGCGGGGCCACGGCTGCTGTTGGCGCGCCCACCTTCTATCTACAGCAATTATCGTAGATCTCTAAATACATAACACAACTGGGAATATATTGACATAAAGAAGCCAAGTGGAGGCTTTGAGGGGCTTTGCTTAAACACTAAAGCGCCTAGGTCGCATTAAGGCATGATCAAATACACACGTTCTCAACGAATGAAAACGGATACGGTGCTGTTTAACATCTTTTGTAAATTCCTGATATCATGCATTCGCTTAGTGTATTTGTTACAGCCGGGACAGGAAATATCTGGCACTACAAGGTTTTTACTCGTAAAATATACGCCTGTATATACTCAAGAGCCTGACGGAATCCCGTCTGGTCGGGAACAAACATAGTGAAAAATAGTAAAAACACCGACCAAAGCAAAATTTTGTGTATTTTACTTTGGTCGGTGTTCTTATTATTTTGCACTACACTTGTATATAGTCTTACTCTTGTTCATCCAATCCCATTTTAGGGCTCTAAGAAAATCATGCGCGCCCAGATGTAAGTTGCCGTGTTGAGGTCCCCAATTATGCTTAAGGCCTTATGTAGGTGTATAGAACATTGCTGTATTACTGAAAAAAAACGAAGGTAAGAAGGTAAAGAAGTTGAGTAAAGCTGCTCCGAGAAGTAATCATACCACAATGGCTAATGTTGGATAACGTTGGCCAGTCTTATACTCATATAATGAAGCCTACAAACAGTTAAGCCCATGAAAGCATAGGGGGCTATATCTGTAGTTTCTTAACTCTATTGTAATCATTCTCCCTTGAATAGAAAATTAATTGAAGTGGACGAAAATTCACTCCTTCCGTCTGAGAGATCCCAAACAACAACCCTCGAAATAGTTGTCATGTATGGCCGTATATATTCAATAAATAGAGCAATCTTAAGCGCGTAGAGTAAATGTATACTCGCTGTCACCAGCAGGAAATGTCTTATATGTTCATTGTCTTCTACTCGATTTTTGTTTCTTTGACAGGAAGACGGTGTTGAGACGTGGATCCGCCCGGTGACCCCCGTGGTGGGCGCGTCTGGCTACTCGTACGCGGTGGTGTTCTTCAATAGAAACATCATGGGCACTACTCGAGAACACATCACGCAGCTCAGAACACTGGGCCTTTTCCATCCGCTCGGGTACCGCGTGACCGACCTCTTCGAGAACAGGTGACTCACTAGAGAGGAGAAAAGTGACAAGGTAGCTTATGTATTCACCTACAAGAGTTCATCCAGAGAGTTTGTGTGCTGTTACCGCGCATAATCCTATAAGAGGACTCTAAGCTCCAACCTGAAAGGGTGCCACCACCATGAACCATGAGGCGGGCTTCATCAATGATAAAGCATCAAAAGTGCTCTAAATGCGAATCATTTCTTATCGAATTGCAGGCACTTCGAGTCTGTCTGTCTGTCTGTCTCTATCTATCTATCTATCTATCTATCTATCTATCTATCTATCTATCTATCTATCTATCTATCTATCTATCTATCTATCTATCTATCTATCTATCTATCTATCTATCTATCTATCTATCTATCTATCCGCCTATGTCTTGGTGCTTTCGAGATCACCTCTTTAATTGGGTGTAGACCTTAATTTGCACGGAAAAGCAAGAGTGTTTAACAAATGTGACTCTCTGATCATGACATGAAGAGGAACGCCGCTTGCTAGACGCGAGCCGGACGCCCTCGCATCGGCTCCTGCTTTTTTAAATGTTTTTGACCGCAAATTTGCCGATCGACCTCGGTTTTTCGACTCATCTGATCCAGTTTCTTTCAAGCATCGAGTGGATACCCGACTTTTGCGGGTAGGTCAAGCTTTCGAACTTTTATTTCGGTGTTTCACCCTGTACCACGTTGGCGCTCAGCTCGGCCTGCCGAGCGAGACGCTTCGAGGATGCCGCTCGAGGAGATGGTCTTCGGCGAAGAAATCTCCAGGCAGGAGGATGAAGCCTCCGGATGGATTGTTGCCCACTCTCGGAAGAAGCAGCGTCAGGATTTTACGCCCGGCGACAGCCCTGGCCCCAGTGCCGGTCATCGTGCCGCCCGTCCAGCGCACCCGAAGGGGCCGATAAACAAGCTCATCGCCGCGTCGTGCCTGCCGCGATTACCTAAAGATCACTACCGGGTTGTCTTACGTCCCAAGGGAGGCATGGATGTGCGCAAGGTCAGTGGAATCAAGGTTACCCAAGCTTTGGTGATGGCTGCTTGTCTCGGCCCGCCACAGGCTGAGGAAGATATTGTTTGTGCCAATGAAATGCAGAACATTTTTGTGATCAGCACGCCACACGCTAGGAACGCAGAAGCCTACGCTAAAGTGAAGCAAATTCGAGTGGGAGAAACGCTCCATGAAGTCTCTACTTACGTGACGCCACCCGGGGATACGTGCAGAGGAGTTGTTCGCGGTATCGACCCTGAGCTCTCTGATGACCGGCTTGGTGAGCTCTTCGTGCACGCAAGAAATCCGAAGGTTCTTGGAGTACGGCGCATCAAGAAAACGCCCACGGTGATCGTCCTGTTTGACGGTATGAAAGTTCCAAACTACGTCATGTGTGGGACGAACCTGATCCGGTGCACGCTCTACCGACGACAAATCGACGCCTGTCGAACCTGCGGAAAGCTGGGACATCGCTCGGACGTTTGTCCCACTCCTACAGTCATCACCTGCCCGGACTGTGGGGTCTCATCGCCCCCTGAGAATCATACGTGCCAGCCGAAGTGCTCCATCTGTGGAGGAGCGCATCCGACGGCGGATCGGGCCTGCCAAAGCAGGTACCAGGTTCCCTACATCGTTCGGCGTAGAAGGTGACGACGGAGAAAAGCAAACAAGCAGCGCGCGGAGTTCGTGCCACAGCAAGCTCCCGGGCTTGGGTTCAACCAGGGGGGTGGCCTTGATAACCCTGGGCGGGGTGCGGGTCACCGCTCTCGCTCGAGGGATAGGTCTGCCTCCTGTGCCCGGATTCAGCAGGAACCTTCCTGGGCTGAACGAGTGGGCCCAAAACGTGAGTCTCGCACTATCGTGCAGCGCCAGTTGCCAGAGCAAGCTACGGCTAGAATACAGCAGCTAGAGCGTGAGAATGCAACTCTGAGGAGTGAGCTTCAGGAGATTAAAGCATTAGTTGAGGAGCTTAGGCAGCGCGAACGCACGCCGGAAGGGGCGGTGAAAGTGCAGCAGGCCGAGGCACAACCTAGAGGCGGTAAGCGAAAAGCCGCTGACCCTCCGGTAGATATCGAGAAGGAGTTCAGTGACTTTAAACAGGAAATTATGGGGGTGGTCCATGAAATTAAGGAGGCCATCGCTGGTGTCAGCTCTGTCATCCAGTCCCTTTCTGCAAGGGTGGTGGTGGTGGAGCAAAACCTAAGTAGCAATGATGGCGAAGCTAAATAAAACATTTGTCATTTGGCAATGGAATTGCGCGAGCTTCCACAGGAAGAAGGCAGTCTTGCAGCAGTTCGTCAGCTCACAGGAGAATAAGCCAGCCGTAATACTCCTCCAGGAGACCCTTAAAGGAGAGGTGGCCCTCCGGGGTTATCGCTCTGTGGCCTGCTGGGGGGAAGGAAAACGCGGGGTCGCCACCCTCATATCCAAAGAGTTCTCCTTTGAGGTTCGCGATGTACGTCCAGACCTAAAGGTGGAACACATACTCATTGAGTTAATCCCAAACTCTCGGCTTAAGGAGCACCTATTCATTCTCAACGTTTATAGCTCACCATCTGATACTCGGGAGACTTTTAATGCGCTTCTCTGCAAAGCCTCCAAAATCGCGGGCTCGGCTCCGTTGACAGTTGCTGGCGACTTCAATGCGCAACATCAGACATGGGGCTATATCAATAATACGGCTAAGGGGCGGGCGCTTCTGCAGCATACCAGCAATCTTAATATGTTACTAGTTACTGATCACAACTTTCCCACACGTCTCGGCAATTCTGTAGCAAGGGACACCACGCCGGACCTGGCTTTTGTCGGGAACGTCGAGTGCCCTTTCTGGCAGAACTTGCATGAGAACTTGGGGAGCGACCATTTCATCGCGTCTATCTCCCTCGATGTTAAAGCACCGCCGCCGCGGGTTTTCAAAATTGTTGATTGGGATGCCTTTCGGGAACTCAGACAAAGCGATAAAAAAGAGTACGATGACCTTGGCCAGCTACTTGAGCGTCTTAAGGCAGATGTTAAAGATGCCACTAAGGTGGTGGAGACGGATCTTAAAACGGAACGCATGGACAGCCGCCTAGCGAGGCTCCTTGAAGCCAAAAACTCTTTACTTAACAAATGGCGTACGCAGCGACTCAACAGGCGGCTCAGAAAAAAAATTGCTCTGCTCAAACAGGAGATTGAATCGTACAGCCAAACCCTGGCCAGACAACAATGGTATGAGGTCTGTAACGCTGTCGATGGGCAGATGCGGTCAGGGGCGAAATGGAACATTCTCAAGCACCTCCTGGGAGATAAGCAAACTAAAGCTAATCAGAAACACACTGTTGATCGGCTCATTCACAAGGAGAGGTCTGCTGGGCTCTCCAATGATCAAATCTTACAACAGCTGGCGGATAGGTACCTCCCCCTGGGGGCTACCACGGATGCAGACTACCCGGATTTCTCTGGTCTGGAGGATGTGGAGCTGGACTCCCCCTTCAGCACGGCAGAGATCAGGGCGGTCCTTTTTGATCTCAATGGAAAATCGGCTCCCGGGCCGGATGGTATCACTAACAGGCTACTTAAAAATCTGGACGATAGATCCATTAAGCTACTAACTGACGAGGTCAACTGGGTTTGGGAGTCGGGGCAGGTGCCGAAGGAGTGGCGAACGGCCTCTGTCGTCCTCATTCCCAAGCCTGGTAAACCTCTCGGGCTCGGCACGCTCCGACCGATCTCGCTCACGTCTTGCGTGGGTAAGGTCGCGGAACATGCAATCCTTAACCGAATCTCCCATCACATTGAACAAAACGAGCTCTTCCCTTTCAATCTCATTGGCTTTCGTCCCGCGCTCTCTACGCAGGACGTTATGAAAATGATTAAACATCAAATTCTCGACATAGACACCAGAGATGTCCGAGGGATTCTTGCACTCGATCTGGAGAAAGATTTCGATAATATCTTACATCCTCACATACTGGATTCTACCTCTGAGTTGGGATTGGGGGCCCGCTTTTACGGGTTCGTCCGCTCTTTTCTCAGGGATCGCGTTGCCACCATTCGGCTCGGGGACCTCTGCTCCAAGGAATTTCACCTTGGACCTAGGGGAACCCCTCGAGGATCGGGCATTTCGCCGCTAATTTTTAATATCACGATGAGGAAACTCTCGCTCGAACTCTCTCGTATCGACCGCATCGGACATGCGCTGTATGCGGACGATATTACTATATGGTGCACTGGGGGTAGGGACGGAGACGTTGAGGAGTCCCTCCAGCAGGCCCTCAGGTGCACGGAGGAGTTTTTGGATAGCACGGGGCTGCACTTGTCGACCGCCAAGTCGGAGCTCCTCCTGTACACACAGCCGGAGAAACGCAAGTTCACCACTATTCCATTTCCGCCGGAAGAGATCAGGATCGAAATTCACACACGGTCAGGGCAGGCCATCCCCCGTGTCGATAAAATTCGGATATTAGGCATGTTCCTGGAGGAGCACGGAAGTAACTCTCATACTCTGACTCGTATTGCGGCAAAGGCGGAGAGCATGGTCAAGCTTATACTTCGGGTGTCTAACAGTCGTGGAGGGCTTTGTGAGGCCAACCTCATGAGGCTTTTCCATGCCTTTCTTATGAGTCACATTAATTACATAGCCGCAGCGCATAGGTGGGAAAGGAAAGAACAAGGGAAACTGGATGCGATTATTCGAAAGTGCATTAAGAGGGTCTTGGGCCTTCCAAACAACACAAATGAGGAAAGGCTCAAGGCTCTTGGTATGCATAGTACATTTAGTGAGATTGCAGAAGCGCAACAAACAGCACAAGCTGCACGACTGTCCTCTTCCAAAGCTGGGAGACGCATCCTGGAGTTTCTGGGCTGCGAACCAACTATGGTAGCAGACAAAAAGATACAGCTTCCACCCAAATTGAGGGAGCAGATTACGGTCTCACAAATTCCTAGAAATGTTCACCCTCTCTACAATGTCGGCCGCCGGGCCGCTAGGGCTAGGTCGCTCCTGAGTTCCGCCGCTGCCACCCCTGAACTTGTGGCGTTCGTTGACGCAGCACAGTATCCCGGCACATCCAATTTCGTGGCTGTGGTCACTGACCTTCACGGTAAAATCCTCACAGCAGCATCTCTTCGAGATACCACGCCGGCTTGGGCAGAGCAGGCTGCTATAGCAATGGCCGTGGCGATTCCCATGCGCACGCGCATTTTCAGTGATTCTCGAGCTGCTGCACGAGCGTTCATGACCGGGTCAGTCTGTGAGCAGGCGGCCCATCTTCCTACCAAAAGACCACATTGCACGGAAATCGACGGCCACATCACCTGGTTTTCTGCCCACATGGGCAAGGATGTCCACCCTGTTATCCCCAATGCCAATGAGCTTGCCCATGCCCGAGCACGCGAACTGTCCCACCGTGACGGGCAATCGGCATCTAATTTTGGGGATGGCATCCGGCAGCTTGATTCGCTCCTCACCTTTAACGAAATTTGCAATAATTATCAATTGGCCAGGCGTAGCTTTCCGCTCCCGCACCCGCAACTCTCTAGGGCCCAGTCAGTCACTTTAAGAATGCTGCAAACGGGTACTTACCCGTCGCCTTTAGTGTACAGCAAGTTTATCGACAGCATAAAGCCACAATGCCCTCATTGCGAAGAGAGACGTTGCACGTTACCCCACATGCTCTGGCAATGCGCGGCGCTGCGCGATGGCGAGCCTCTCAGCACAGAAGCTGCCTGGAGGACGGCAATTACCAGCTCGGACCGAGAGGTCCAAATCCGGGCTGTCCAGAGGGCCCGCACTTTGGCGGAGGGGCTCGCTCTTCCTGTCCCCACGTGGGTGCGGCCCGCAGCCGACCCTCCTTCTTGAGGGGAATCGGCTCCTCAGGACAATTTGTAAATAAAGTTCATTGACTGACTGACTGTCATGACATGAATGACGTGAAAATCCTGTCACGTTCGTCTTCATACCTGTTCTTCTAGACACGTATGGCTTATTTCAGTAACAACTAGCCGCTGTATGCGAGTATGCACCACAAGAGATCGAAGTTTATATCTACCCAGGAACAGTGAGAACAGCCATTGGTAATATAAGTGCGAAAACGTTAAGAAAAAAATGTACATCGGCAGCGTTCATTATATAGAAATGCAAAGAATGAATATCAGGATCCCCGTAGGAATTGAACAATAAAGTTCTCCACAGCATACCATATACTAGCAGGAATCGAACCTAAACATTCCACGTCGTGCTAAGATTTTGTGCGACACAACCATGGTAGGTCTTGAAACTGCTTTGGAAAAAGGCCATATGATGGTGTTATGTCGTGGCAACATGAATCATGGTTGCCTTGCTGGCTATATGATTTATAACTAGGCGATAAACATTACAAATGCATTTCTGTGAGACATGCGTCATGTAGAGTTAACGTAAAATATAGTTCCAGTATTGACTCTGCTTTTATGGCAGTCTGACAAACATTACATTTATATTCATATGATTCAGTGAGCTATATTCAACCATGGCTTGACCCCGGAGGAATACGCTATTGTTAGATTGGTGTGATACTCACATAATCGCTACGTAAATTGTAATTCGTTCCGATAATACTGATATGTGTGCTCTTTACGTATGCGCTGGCTTTACGGCTGAACGAAGAAAATGCATCACGGACGCCTTTGCTGACAGCTTTACGTAAAACGAGTTCACACAAGGCATGATATCTGCCATTTTTTTCAGTTTTTTTCTTCTTTTATATGGAGTACCAACGTGAGACATCACTATAGCTTAAATACAGAAACATCTCACCCCTTGCAACCACGCTTTACCTCAATGTCACAAGAGAAACGGCGCTGGCAAAATAAGCGGCTTGACGAACTGAGATCCACGCTTTCATCAGACACTCTTCCGGGTCATTGGCCGAGCTCATCCTCAGCCCAGAAGGCTTTGAAAGCTTTGCTGCGCTTTTTGCGGACAACTAGCCTCAGAGACAGACTTGTGTGCCTTGTACTCTTTGATGTTGCCTTTCCTCTGTCGCATTTTTTAATAAATTCTCTCTCTCTCTCCCTTCGCAACAATTCTTTTTAACATATTTTATTCCCCTCACCCCTTTCCCCAGCACAGGGTAGCCAGCCGGTCTAAGAACTGGCTAACCTCCCTGTCTTTCTGCTTAAACTTTCTTCCTCCTCCTCCTCCTTCCTTCCGCAACTGGTGTTCACGAACCGTTTCTCGCAGGTTTGCGGGCGTGTACTTCCCCGACGATTACCTTGCGGTGCGAGTCAACCCCGCGGGTGGGGTCACCATGGTGAAGGCGGAGGCTGTGGCACCAGCGCCTCCCTTGCACAGGCCGTTTTCAACGCCGCTCCCGAGGTTTCCTCAGCGACCGGAGCTACCTGTGCCAGGCAACGCAGTGACGGGCCGCAACGCACCGCTCATACCGACACTCGCCCCTCAGAGTACCGCAAACGGTATCGGCGTCCCGTTCGATTACATCGTGGGCACTGAAGGCTTGAGGCAGAGACTCCGCGTTCGCACACTGAGGAGCACACCATCCCCAAGAAGAAGGCCCCCATTGTCGGCGTAGAGACCTTTCTTTGGGGGGCGTGCGCATGATCTCCTGGACATTGCCGCAGTAACGAAAGACAGTGACACCCACGTACTGCCCAGCTGACTTCTACAGAGTGTGCAGTGGCACGAGTCAATGAAAAAAAATTTTGTCGTGACGGCTTGGTGAAAACCGGGGATAAACGGTGACCGATAATTGTTGCGAACGTATGACCTCTGTAAAGCATTGCTTGATTCGGTTTTTTCTTTTTTTTCTGTAATCTGCCTGGTTTCCTGTTAGTAATCGCACTTAGGTTGAAGATACGTTTAAAGTTTGAAATTGACGAAATTTCGGTATACGAACGATGCGATGTAATGCGCTTTGATTCTAGTCGCCTTTATCTTGAACGGACAGCTACACATAAGTATGTATAGGAGTAAGCGCGAGAACATAAACATCAAGTGGTGTTCAGTCTTAATATGTAGCGTTCTGTACTCTACTTGCAAATGTCGCAAACAGCCGTTTATAGAATGGTTACGATTATTTACTCTGTTCTGTTTTTGATGCTTGACAGGATAAACCCATCAAGCACGTATACAAAAGCAACAGAACGTGGAAATTTCACAAGTGGTAGCTCTTAATTCAACGTTGTGTAGCGATGCCGCTACATGCTTTGTTGACAGAATACTCGAAATTACTCTACAACAGAGTTCACGCAGATAAATAAATCGCGGCCGCCTGAAGTCTCCTGACAATGATAGTTGACTGCATCACTAGTTGTATGAAGCGCATGGAGTTTGTTTCTACGAAAATTTATCCTTAGTATCATATTTTTGTTAATTCTTCCCACTGAGGACACATCCAATCGGATGTGGTATGCTTTTTATAAGAATGGACCAAGAACACGTTTTTTTTTTTTTACAAACCCTGCACTCCCTGTTTTCGTTGATAAGTTTTTTTTTACATTGTTGTTTCAATTTCGAGGAGCAGCTGGCTGCTCTTATGCCAGTCTTTAATGCCAAGTAGATTTCTTTCTTTTCATGTAATAAAATACGCGAATCAACTGTTAATGCCGCTTCTTGTCTATTTACTCGAACTGATATGCATGCAGCTTTCGACCAAACCCATAAAACAAAAAGTACGCCGAAGTGGAGTTGAAGAGCTGTGTGTGAGAGAGAGCAAGAGAGGCGTAGTTCTCACAGTCTATTTTAAACTTCATCGATGTTTTTACCATCAAAACAGGGGTTAATTGCACGACACTACTCAAACAACAAAAACACGTTATTAGCAAAGGCATTTTAAAGAAGCAAGGAACAATATGTAAAACTGAGTGCCTCTTCGAGCGTATATTGCCATGGCGAGAAAAACACGTTTTCTTACTTTGTCGTAGAAAAAAAAAAACTTCACCTGAATCTGTGTCGGGCCCACGTTTCAGTATATAAAGATGCTCATGTGAGCCTCTCCCAACTCACGATAATTTTAGTCCCTTGTTATCTCTGTGTTCACCAGGGATCATCATCGTCGTCAGCGTATCGATCCCCTGCAATAAGATGAAAGCATCTCCCAATCGTCAGCTATCCTTCCGCTCCAGCTAGAATTATGTAATCTTCATTGTGTACACTTGCTTTCCTTAGCGCCTAATACCCGGCATTTTCTTCTCACAAAACACATAAGTTTATAAGAATTAAATAGCGTTTGCGACCACACAACGGCGAATAACAGTAGTGTAAGCGAGATTGGGGACGTTTATTGAAGAGGGAGGATAAAGACTTTATTCAGTTAGTACATTATTACTGTATCAGAAATAAAAAAATACCAATGAAATGGAAAAGATAAAACAAAAACCTCTGTGTCATCCTTCAAAAAGGTGTCAATAGTTACACTAACGTTTTTTTTTGTAATATTTCAAAGAATTCAAACAACTGGTCACTTTCAACACCACTCGTATGTGTTCCAATAAAAGTTATGCGACCAAACTTTTTTTCTTCGCGCTTCTACTCTGCCAACAAAAAGCCGCATATACAACATATTTAACCTCCCTACACTTCCTTCGCGTCCTCTCTCCCTCTAGTGACAATATCTGGGGTCTTACGTGCCAAGATGACGACATGGTAACGAGGCACGCAGCAGTTGAAGGCTCCGGAAATTTCACACAACTGGAGTCAATTAACGTGTATACCTTAATCTAAGCGCATGGGCCTCCATCGCAAGGTCACTTCCGCGGCCGGGTTTGAACCCACGACCTTCAAATTTCAAGTTTATTTTTCACTCATTAGTACAGAAAAGGGACCTTCGAATCAGTGTGCGAGCACCGCAAACACTGTACTTCCATGACGGCTTCCTCTCATTCGAAACAAAGCCCTTACATAGTACGCACTCTGGTGCAGCAAAACGACTACATCTACATGAACGGTGCTATATAAATAAAAAAAAGGTTTAATAAGTGCTTACGCAATAGTATATTGCGGAAAACGTAACTTTTTTGTGTATAACTATCACCTGGTAACGCGGCTCAATGCCGCAACATTAAGCTGAGAAAATGCTGAAGTGTAGTGCGCCCGTTACGAAAAATTGCAAGAACAGCTATAAACCCTTCGTCGATTGATGTCAGCGCAAAAAAAAAAAAGATCAACTGCTGATTACATTATTTGCCAGAGCTGTGCATACGTGACAGGATTTTAGAAGCGTGCGCGAACTTACGGCCGCTTGTCACAGGTATATGCATGCCTAGTTAAAAGAAATAGAAAGCGTATTACGCAGCGTTAACTGAAATATTTTTTTGGCCGTGTTCTATGTCCTTTAGTAAGGGTGAATGTACTCGAAGTACACTATTTTTTTTGTTCTCTACCATATTCTTGCTGTAAATATTACGGAACTAAGTACTCGCGACTATGCGTATGAAATTAGGATTCGATTAAGGACTAAATCTAATCTCTTTCAGCTGTAACTATAGAGGACCCCAAATACTCTAATAATGAGTAGTCGCGGTGGACCATGGGTTATCGTGCTCTGGACCACTGACCCGAAAGTGGCGGGATGTTATCCCAGCTGTAGCAGTCGCATTTTTCTGAAAACGAATTTTTTAGCCGCCCGTTTATACTTAGCCTGACGATTGTTATAGGGCGAGAACAGAACGACGACAAAGGGACAAGAAAAAGTCGTTCTGTTCTCGCACTATAACAATCGTCATGTCATACCAACCGGCCCAAACCACCACGCTTTTAAACGTGTACTTAGGTTTATGTGTGTGTTTGTTTGTTCAAAGAACACCAGGTGGTGTTCTTTGAACAAACAAGGTATCATGAAACCACGCGATCAAAAGGAATGTAAAAAAAGAGCTCTCCCATCTCTCCCACCGAAAACAAAAAGAGAGAGAAACAGCTTAACGACTGACGTTCACAACGAGATATTGTTCAAAGTGTTCTAGTTGATTTTTTTTTCTTTGTATTATCGAATAAGCACCCTTCGCCCCCCCCCCCCCTGTAAAATCGCGAGTGATTTGCTCATTACTCATGCATTAACTCGAATACGCACGTGCAATTTTGGAGCGTTCAAGCGTAACCTTATTAAAATGCTTGAGCACGTGCCAAGCCGGGAACAACGTTTTCTAATTCTGTTTTTTTTTTCGAACACCACCAGCTATTGGAAACTAAAAAACAAGAGAGATTGCCAAACTTCCGCCATGCCGTCAACTTGCCCGTATCTCTCCCGCAAGTTCCTTCACGCACCACTTCCAACAGATATCATGGTACCATCCTATCACTATCTAAGAGCCAGCATTTTAAGACTGCGCACCTAATTTGAGCCCCCATTGTGTCCCATAATTGTTTATTATGGTGCACGTGGCACATCAAAGGACTGGAATAGCTTTCCTTGGGTAATGATGTACAGCACTCAAGGATTGAAACGTGACATCACATTCGTTTTATTAGTATAGTTATTGTTATACGAGAAATCGCTCGCTATAAACACGTCATGTCGGAGCAAATCTGAATGGTAAGGTTCGCTCTGTGGTAACTGTCATACTTACGCAGATACGTTAAACCCACATATCAATCAATCAATCAATCAATCAATCAATCAATTACGCAGATATGACGCGAGGTTTCGACGCTGCGAACAGAAGTAAGATAGTTTATAGCCCAGGGGCGTTGTCAGAAATCTCTTTTTTGAGGTTAGGGGGGGGGGCGATTTTCCGGAAACGCTCTGAATGCCATGACGAAAAAAAAATTCATCTCAGCTTCTCGCATTATTCTCTCGTGACAGCTAGAACACTTTTAGACAGTGTGCTGCGTTCAGGATACCATGGTGTTTTCTTCAAGACACTACCAAAGTTGGTTAATTTGCCCGACAATCGATTTCTCGCCCCTGAAATTTCTCAAGCACGTGAGAAAAGTAAGCAAGTCCGAATATTCCGACGAAACCCGTTTCGCCACTTATATCAACATTGATGCACCTATCATTTGAGTAATGCAGCGATGAACTGTATGCTGCCACCTCCAACTGGCCGTGTGACCTATGAATGAGCCGTGCATTGCAAATGAAGTCCCCTGTACGACCGCCCTGTTATTTCATTGGAGGTGAGTTTTCAAAACCTCCATGGAGGGGCACCACATCGATTTAGACAAACACGAGCGAGAGCCCACAGTGCACGCAAGGAGCATGGTATGTCAACACAAACTCATGACTTAGCCGATTGTTCACGGTTTGCATTCAAACTTTATAAGTCGATTTGTGAGGGTGCTCGCTCTCGCATGAAGTTGAAATTGTTGCGTGGAACAAAATATATATTGATAATAAACATATTCTAGGCTATATCAACCTATTAACCTTTGACATTCTGTAGACGACGTGCGTGCTTACACAAATCTAAGTTATCTCGTCTTGAAAGTTTTGTTCCAGTGCTACATCAGCGACACCGAATACTACAAGAGCTTCATTGGAAATGTGTTTCGAACGATTATACAATATAACAAAAATAGGGGATTCTAAGTGTCCACGCGACAAAACGAGGATATGCTTACTTGTATAAGGCACGCCCCACCGTGGTGGTCTAGTGGCTAAAGTACTCGGCTGCTGACGCGCAGGTCGTGGGATCAAATCCCAACTGCGGCGGCTGCATTTCCAACGGATGCGGAAATGTTGTAGGTCCGTGTGCTCAGATTTGGGCGCACGTTAAATAACCCCAGGTGGTCGCAATTTCCGGAGCCCTCCACTACGGCGTCTCTCATAATTAAATGATGGTTTTGGAACGTTAAACCTCACACATCAATCAAATAATTATATAGGGCACGCCATAGTGGATAAATGCGGAACAATTTTCGCTATGTGTTTGTTTCAGGCTGAACCCATACTTAAGTATGTGGATGTGTTGTTATTTTTAATTGCACCTGCATGGATACTAACGCGGCCCAGAATCGAGTACACGTCTTGGCTTTACAATCACTTTCGTGAAAGAGTCAACACATTTTAGCGATAAAAAACATGTAGTATATAGCCAAACTACAGTATGCATGGAAGGCTCCAGAAATTTCGACCATCTTGTGTTTTTTTTTTAACTTTGCTGACATCGCACAAAACACGGGCCTTTGGTATTTCGACTGCGACCGCTGCCACTGGTATCAAACCCCCAATCCTGTATCACGCTCTGCAGTACAGCCTAAAGAACTTTATTGAAAGCATTCTGAGAAGTGCAAACCTTAGAACAACACCATGGAACGCTTATCACGTGGGGACAGTTAGATATAAGCTAACCGCAGCATCGCAGACTCTCTGGGGAGCGTAAACTCGATGATGACACTTCGAGCTCTTGAACACCGAGCTCCATCTTTGTTTTCTGCGGTACTTGTTCTTACGTAACGATGTCTAGACTAATTTTCAACTTAAAAAAGCAAGTTTAATAATGATCGGTTCGCTGCTTCGAAACGAAAGGCATTTCTCAACTTCCTGACATTCATGATATATCACATACGCTGGATCTTTATCTGAAATTGACTCCGCTCGACCTTCTTTGGAAAGGCAAGTTTACAACGTGTGTGCGATTACATATTCGAGTACTTTGTTTATTCTT